GAGTGTGGTTGAGGTTAAGAGAAGAGATACTTACATCCACACTCACATCCTCAAGAAGATTATATTTCGTTCTGTCTTTTATAAAATAAACTCTCATATCATTAACATTAAATATTCGATTGTTTACAACTCATTAATAACATCATCTCATCAATTATAGCTGAACCCCAATGAACAATTGTTTCTTTTGTCGAAACTTCAGGTACTAATATTAGCTAACTTACTTTCATATGTAATTATTCTATTCAACAAATTTTTTACATGGGTAAGAAAAATGCTTTTAAAAAACTAACAATCACATGAAAAATACAGACATAAAGTAATTAAAAGAGTATTAAAATCATAACCAAATCTCTTATTTACTTTCGAAGAGTTGCGCGCAATAGATGAAATCCTACAAAGAAACTCTCAAGTGATGTTTTATTTTACGTTTGTCAATCACACAACTGCACATAACTGATCAGGTACTTTATATATCGAATGAAAAAACATCATGATTTTAGTTATTGTGAAAGAACAGAAGTAAAGAGTCTTTAATGAAAACAAAAATAAATCATGAAATAAAATCTTAACGAAATGAAAATGATAGACATAGAAAATAAATATTTGAATAAATTAGAATGAATAAATAAAATAAAAAGAAATGTATCTCTGATTTCAAGAACACAAACAAGTGTTGAAAGAAACAGTTTTGTGCTCTTTCAACTAAAAGAAAAATGTGGGAAGTAATGGAAAAAAAAGAGTAAAGAAAAACCATTAATTTTTGTACGCACTTTATTTTCTCATTGATCACACAAATAATAATGCGATCTGTCACTGTCTTGTTTTTCATTATATTTCTTTCATCTATAAAGGGTTTGTTACATTATCTTTTCCCATTTGACTCTATTACACTATAAAATGAATTCTAGGCCAAACGACACAACTACCTAATTATTCTTGTAGTGAAAATAATGCTTCTATTCAGTTTACATTATCTTCATCTTCTCATTCAGCCTGGAATCCAACATCAAGTTGTTCTTTGCAACAATGTAATACAAGCTTGAATGGTAACAATAATTGTCTTTCATCATCAACACCTTGTTTTGATTATCGAACAATCAATAATATTAGTTATTGTGCACCTGGTATTTTATGTTCAATATCGGAGACATGTAATAACATTACACAAACATGTTTATCAAATAATTCAGTGTGCGTTATTAATTCATGTTGTTCATCACAAGCAGTATGTTTACCATTCTTAGCAACACAAATGTGTAACACAGGTATTAATACATATTGTTTAAATTTGAGACTTTATTACACTCAACTAGAACAATTCAATTTCGACATAGTTGTAGATAAAGTATCATTCATTCATACGAAAACTTCTGGCGAGTGATACTTTTCTTGCAGTGAGAACAAATGTAATAGATAGAATAATAGAGATATGTGTTATCCATTGTTAATTAACATAAGGAACGATAAAGAGACGAAGAACTAAACTATGCTGAAGTTTTCATTTTAGTTAGTGAATGACATATTAAAGCAAGTTCTTGAGAATGTGAGTGTGGTCAAAGAACAAAGCAACATCTCACACCCACCCTTCAAAACTCGTTACCACGTTTTGTTTCACTTGTTCTATTGTTTTGTCAGACTATTAGCAGCTTATGTTTTTACTTTCTTACTTTAGCAATCTTGTCTACTATTTGTGTAAGTGCTGGCAAGGATGCTATCCTCAATGCCAGTCAATTCATCTACTCTCCTACTCAACAACTCTACGCAGCTGGTATGCTTAACAACCAATTTGGTGTCTATCAGGCTTATGGCTATGGTAACGTTACTTCCACATCAATTTGGACTGCCAATCAATCATCGACACCAACGGGTGCTAGCTTTGTGGCACAAGATGACGGAAATCTAGTTGTCTACACTGCTGGTGAGAGCCCGATTTGGGCGATAGGGGCAGACAATGGTGGAGCGAGCGTACCGTATTGCCTAAAAATGCTGGATAGTGGCAATCTTATTTGGGTTAATAATGCGAATGCAATTATTTGGCAGTCAAACTCATCCGGATGAGGCTTCATTCATATGATTTTCTGCTAATCTAATGCCTAAACTTTTCATTAATTCATCTTAACAAACACGAAAATTGGTCGCAGAGTTTTAAAGTGTTGAAATGCTTCAACACGGCACAATAGTTTTTCTTTTCCTTTAATAAATTCATACTGGCAGGAAGCCTATGTTTTCTTCGATAACACTGCAGCAGCACAATAGCAGCATTTTAATCTATATGAAAATAGTTTTTTTTATTAATTGTGGACACCTAAGTATGCACCAATTTCAGTTAGGGTGTAAGTATGGGCGTGGGCGTAGGAGTCTGGATCTAGGTGTGAGTAAAGAAAATACAAACACCCACATTCTCAATTTATTCATCTTTTCGAGTTTGACAAAACCAATATAAACAAAGAATAATTTCTTTTGTTTTATTAATTTAAGACCTGTGTGGTTTTCAATTAGACAGCAGGTACTGTTATTAAAAGTAATTATATCATAGTTATCAAATACTACAGAAATGTATAAGAAAACGTATCAATATGATTTACACAAAGATTCTATCGTTCTTTTTTTATAGTTCAGAAAACAAGAAAAAACAAGCTCAATTCATCATATTTCTATTTCTTATATATATATTTCTTGATTAAAAATTGAATTGTAATTCGAAAATGAGGTATATCACTAATATCTTGATTAGTTTCAAATATTTCGTATAATTATGGTTCTCTTCCAGTTTGTTATATAACTAACGATAAATGATTCTCGATCACAGTAAAAATATAAGAATTATGTGGAAGACTAGTTTGTGTTTATATGACTTATAATCCTTAAAAGTATACATTTATTCTATCTATAAAATAATTCCTAGTGAAAATAATAATTTTCAAAAAAATAATTTATATTATATTCTTAAACTGAAATTGTAATTATGAAAGTACAATCATTTCAGCAAGATCTTTACAATAATTCTACTGACATCCTCGTACTATAAATTTCATGAAAAATACTTGTACTTTTTACCTTTGAAAATAAAAAATACAAACATCTCAGAATTTATTTCTGCACATTTAATTATTGATATTAAATATCTATTTTATAAGTTTCTATAGAAATTCAGCACAAGATTCTCTTCCGTTGCAAAACATTTTCATATAGTTTATTTCTTCTATTATTAGATCTTATTCACTGTTGCTGTTATATACTTTTTTTTTATTGAACTCCATCGATAGATGCTACCAAAACGTGTGACCTATAGTAATATCTTGAGGGTGTGGTGTGGGTGTGGGCATGAGTAGATCTTTGTTTCACTACACCCACACCCACCAAATGGTACTTTTGCTACACATTCGAGGTGTCGAAAGGTATTTTACTTCAAATTCCTCTTAAAAACACTGCTTCCTATAATGAACAAAGAAAAGGACGATATAATATATTGTTTGTATTTTTCAAATTGAAATACTGCTAATCTTCCATTAAAATCATAGCAAATAATCTCGATCGCGTGTGAATAAGACAGTAAGATGGATATACATATTGATATTATCTCACATCCACACCACACCAAAATAATGACTTGGTAACAAGAAAAAATAGTCTGTGCAGGATAATAACAATTTATCAACAAAATGCTTCCATATTCTCATTATCTTGAGACCTAACTGTGAAACTTATCTCAAGTTGATCTATTAGATTTATCGTTAGTTTCTCCTTATCTGATGCTTACCTATTTTATATAAAATAAAAATTATCACTACGGTTGAAATTCTTCAGAATGCAAAAACTGCATGGAAATTTAAAATCTAGACAATTCTATTGAAATAAACTTACAGTTGTTTAATTGAAAAATATTTCTTTTCTTTTCAATTTTGAGATCAATAAAATATTCTATTCATGATTTCT